AAACTGTTCTAGCCTAGCAGAATGCCATAGTTCCTGAGATCGGCGATTCCATGCTCTCATAGCTATGGTACCTAAAAGTTATATGAGAGAGGCGCGGCATAGACTGTGATTGGAAGACACAAAGTGTCAATCCTGGGCGAGCCTCGGCATCATGGCCGCATCACGTCTAGATTGAATACAGATCGCTATTTTTTTACGCTTTCCAAAATAATTTACATGTTTACATGAATGTCAGAACGATTTTTTAAATAAATGCACTATATATATATTTTATTTATTTACTATTTTAAATACCAGTACCTTGGTAAAAGATATATCAACACGAGTTTGCAAGCTCCTCACTGTCCTAAAGTACAATCAACACAACTTGCTGCGCTACTGCTGGTGGGGGGGGGGTGGATGAACACTCATAGTCATAGTCATATGGCATGTTAACAGTTAAGGATTGCATCTCGTAATAATTAGGGCTGTAACGATACACAAGCCTCTCGATTCGATCTGTATCTCGATATTACTATTAGCCTCTGGATTCGATTCCCAAAATATTGAAATGTTATCTTATTTTTTATATTATCATTATTTTGCAATAAAACTCAACCAACTATTACATTCTTTCTTTTTTCTCAATTTTATTTAACAATTTGGCGTAATAATAGTACTACTAGTAGTATAGTAGTAGTAGTAGGTAGTAGTAGTAGTAGTAGTAGTAGGAGTAGGAGTAGTAGGAGTAGTAGGAGTAGGAGTAGTAGTAGTAGTAGTAGTAGTAGTAGTAGTGGTAGTGGTAGTGGTAGTGGTAGTGGTAGTAGTAGTAGGCGTATTTAACAATTTGTTGTAGTGCCGCCATCTATTGGAGGGAAAAAGTGGTATCAAAGTGGAATCGAAAATACAGGGGAAAAATATCGAGGATCGGATCGGGGGAAGAGAATCGCGATCCGATTCGATTTCGGTGGATCGTTACAGCCCTAGTAATAATTCATGTATCTCGTATATGGTCATGCGTATATAAGATGCATCTCGTAGTAATGTCAATTAGTTAGTGAAGCATATACCAATTAATGTTACCAACTAACTAGTAGTAGTACTGTCTGCAGTATTTAGGTTACATCAGCTCTACCTCAGCACTGCTGTACTATCAGCTACTGCAGTATAGATCCTTCTACTTCAGTACCTGCCTCACCCACTTTCCCACCTGTGCCTATGTCTGTCTGTCTGCATGCCTGCATGTCTTTCATTCCATCTGTCTGTCTGGCTGTCCGATTGCCTGTCTGTCCGTCTATTTATCTGTGTGTCCGTCTAGCATATATATATTGTTTGGTGTAGCTAACTAGCTATCTATTATTAGCTAATACTTGTGATTTCAGAAAATCTTTGAACTTAACAGTACGGGTCCATCTTATGAGGCGAAATGTGTCTCTGTGTGCGACACAGGAAGCAAAGCAACCATGAATGCTGCCACCTTTGGAAATGAGAAAGGTGAATCAATGTGGGTTTGATGTGCTAGATGTAACACTATTCTAGTCTTGCTATATATATATATATATATATATATATTATTTACTACTGATATATATATATATATACATATACACGATAAAACAGGCAACTCGGAATTAATGCTAGTTGGTTTGTATTGATTACCAGCAAGGCTATTGATTTTATGGGTGCTGTGACACTTATGTTTAATTACCAATGATCGATCTACCGGTGGTAAAGTTTTCTGTTGTTACAGGTTATGTGTTGGCAGCAGGGCTAGAGGAAGAATGTCAGCTGTATAGCATCAAGCCTTTGAAGGAAAAACCGGACAATATTGGTCCTGTCCGGCAGGAAGCTGGTGATGGCAGGGAGGAGACAGCAGATGATAAGAAAGGTATGAGTATAGATATGCACTAAAGTATTGATAATTGGCAGCCAATTAGACTGTATCTATTAGTATTAATCTTTCTCACTGCAGCATTCATCAGCATTATCAGCGTAAGATGTAACATGCTTTTTGCTCTTGGGTTTATATGTGACCCGCTCCAGCAAAACCAGGATTAAGTAGGAAATTCTACAAATTGAGTTATGTGCATATCTGAATAGATAATTTAATTACCTTTAAAATGATATATAATATTTGGATATACCTAAAGAATTGACCGATCTACAGCAATTTGAAGATCGGAAACCGATTTATTCCGGAATATGCAGCTTTTGAGATAAAGCGTTCCGGGTAAGGGGCCCAGTCGGGGATGAGCGGTCAGGGGCCCTTCAAAAAATTTTCATTTTATTTTATTTTTTTAATTAAAAATGACTGTAATAATCTAGAGATATCTGAACCTATATATATCCAGATTAAATATGCACTTAGGAACTTATTTTTGTAAAAATCTCATTTTTGTCCAGGTAGGCCATTTTCAGCATTGACATGTCTGCGTGTTCATTACTCAAAACAATGACTTGCGACTTAGTCCGTATTATGCTGGAGCGGGTCAGATATGCTCTGTGTAACTAACATGAATGTAGACGTGAACACATGTCTAGATGGAACAAGCAGCAAGAATTATTACAATTATTATACCATGTTCATTTTCATTTTCTATATTGTGACAATTGATTAGACATGGATATTAGGGTTAGTAAATAGTTAAACTCTAGGATTTTACTGCATACAACTGTACTTACTGTATAACAAATCGTCTATACCCACACGTATTTGTTACCAGATAGCTAATTTAATTGTTGTAATTATTAACACATTAAAGCTATGAAATTTGAACGGCGCCATGACACCCGCGACCGTGCTGCCTCCCCGAAAAAGTTGCGTATTTGAAAATTTATTTTGCACGTTACAGACCGAAGGCTAATCCCAAAAGTGCAATTATATTTATACCTAAATGCTATTTAACCGAACGATATTCATTTTAGGGCAAATTTATCCATATTATAACTGAAACTATATGTCGTTTATAAGATATTACAATCCTTTTGCTTTTAAATTAATAAATAAGAAACACCTTTGGTCTGTAGCCCTAGGCTGAAAAGTGGTTTTGCGCAACTTATCAGATCATGCACTTTGAGTGGCGCCACCGTCGTTGTAATCAACCTGTAGTCGTTGGTTTTAAAACATTTTTTACTAATATTTCTAATGGTGATTGAACCATGAAACTTTTTATGTAGCGTAATTTTAACCTAAATTAACCGAAAATAACCCTAGAACCTAGAGTAAACGATCCCTTTAATTACTTGTGTTTTCGCATGATAGACTTCTTTGTTTTAATGTACTCGTGATAATAAATATATTATTAGAATTAGGCAGAATTTTATTATAGAATTGATAAACTTGTTATACTGTAGATACTACATTGAGACACAGGCATGTGCCAAAGGATACTCAACCAGAGAAACTCAAGAAGACGAGTACAGCTAAGGGAGAAGATAAAAGTATAAAGGACAAACACTCACAACAATCTGGTGAAGCTACTGAAGTAGAACGAATGTTTGAATTCGAAAAACTTGGCAAGTGTTGTTTGTTTACTTGTGTTCTTTGGCATTGTGTTTCATGTGATTGTGTGTTTTATTATTATTATTATTATTATTTCCAAAGTGGATCACCTCATTAAATGGTAGCTTCTTGACTGGCTATGTCCCAACCTGAGTCATAGGGATTGAATCCAGAATTTTCAATGCAGAATGTGGGATGTTTCCAGTAGTGCAATTTCTGTTATTATTATATTATTATTATTATTATTACTATTATTATTAATATTATTATCATTGTCATTGTTATCATCATTATCTGTATCTTGGGCAACATATAACTGATAATTGGAATTATTTTGGAAACAGGATGCATTCTGACAGACTTTCATGCAGATGGTGGATTTCAGAAAGCCGTTCGATTTAGTTCTGACAAAAGCCTGTTGGTGACAGGTGGCGCTGATGGTTTCCTGCGTGTTTGGAAGGTAAACAATTTGATGCCCACTATATTTTTGGAAATTGTGTGATAATGTTCATTGGTATTGTTTCACCCTAGTTTGCTCAAATCGGCTGCAATTGAAATATTTCCAGAATGATTACAGACAAATTTCTGAGGTAATGCAATATTACATGCAATATACAATATTTTTAAGTGCCAAAAACGTAGGGTACAATTTTGCATGCAATGTTCTTACAATACTTAACAGTACAGCACAACCTGTCAGACGAGCACTAATATTCCACAGTGCTAGTTCGATCTTTTATATTTGCCAATTATGGTGGATGTTGTTTGTTTTCCAGCATCCAAGCTTGGAGAAACTATATGAGGTTAAAGCTCATAGTGGAGAGATAGACGATCTAGACATCAGTCCTGCAGGTGACAAGGTATAAGACTTGGTTTATGTAAAATATAATAACGTAATGTAAAAATTGTATAAAATGTTGAAAATTGTTAGATTACAATTAATCACTGCAGTGGCAGAAAAGGGAAATCAGTGCATAATTTTGATAGGATCGTTGTGATCATGTTGGGTCATTCGCAGATTGTCACAGTGTTGAAAGAAGGTCAGCCGAAAGTTTGGCAAACAAAAGATGGAAGTGCAGTGGTTGACCTACCTTGGGAAGATCAGGGTGGCATTGCATATAGGAGTAGAAACTGCAGGTGTAATATTTCCCCATACTCTTGTTATGTTTCGTTTGTTTTTAGATGGTAATCTGACAGATAATCGTATTTTTTTAAAAGCTGTCAGCTGCCCAGACACTGGCAACAGCAGTAGCCTTCAGATGTACACGAACGCTCTGTGGCACTAGCATGAAAGATTATTTGACCGCATTTGTTTAGTTTCGGACACATTGTGCATGACTGTACTGGTTGATTAACTCTGACGCGTGAATATGTACGTTATGTTTTTGTTTCAGTGTTTTTAACATCCCGTTTTCGTTTAGATTTGCACCTGTAGACGGCAGCACCAAGGCTTGTACTCTGTTCACGACACATATACCAAAACAGAGGAGTGGTAAGCATGTGCCGTGTTACCTGACAAAGTGGAACACGAAGACGTGGTCGGTGGAGAAACTGCAGAGCACTGGGAGTGAGGTTTTGTCGTGTCTTGCTGTAAGGTAACACATACTCCGAGAAGATTTGCTTACCTAAACTATCCCATTACATGTCGTTGTGGAACATTTTTGGCATTTCACATATTAATTCTTTACGATTGATATTCTTTCAATTATTCTAACTTTATGTTATAGTGATGAAGGGAAATTTGTAGCCGTCGGCACAATACCAGGAGATGTCATAATTTACATCGCATTCAGTCTGCAGGTGAATTTCTAGTTATAATTTTGTTCTCGTGTAAATTCTTTTTTAACTTTCAAAAACTGTTAGGTGTTTGTAGGTAACGACTCAACAAAGGCCTTTAAGAATTTACTATTATTTTCATCATTCTGATTTTTCTCGTAAAGAACCTCATGGTGAGTCTTAATTTGTACACTTTTACATTGTCCAATCGTGTAAATTCATATAGATTTTTAAATTGTGTCACCTTATGCAACTGAAACAAGAATACCAACGAAATTGCAGACTAATTCAGTTCTATTTGTATTTTCTATTATACTACTTATATCTTCAGATGCAATGTAATAATCATGATGCTATCACACTTGGTCACACTCGCCCCTGCGCTAACCACGTAATAACGTGTGACTGTTGATAGTGTACGCAACTGAAATACGAGCTCCACATTCAGAATAGTTCAGCTCTACTTGTATTTTGTACGGTACTATCTAATGTATTGCGATACTACCATCCTTAGCCGCGCATTCACTGTTGCGCTAACCATGTAATGACATCTACTCGCCGTCGCACTAACCAGGTACTGTTTTCTGGCTGTCGATAGAGGGTATACCGCGCACAGGCGACCCACGGTATATTTGTGACGGGGCTCGATTTCTTGCCGAGCCGGAAGGAGAGTCAGGCGGCCCATGCTCGTGCGCACGACGCATCCCTACTCAGCGTTTCAGCCGACAACCAGGTGCAGATTCATCATGTTCCCTGCCGAAGTAAGTCGGCCACGACAGGGTTCTTGTTAATAGCCGGTAACCGGTTATTTTTACTGCCTATCGCGCAATTTGTTACCGGCTATCAATTTGAGAAACTCCCACTAAAGGCAGTAAAATATTTAATCTATATTTGAAAAAACGAAGTTTATTTTAAATACTTCCAACCGACTAACTCTGTGCACGGGCGGGTTTTTCTTTTTATAATAGATACTTAATAGCATATATTTTCCTATCTAAACTACCAAATTCTAGAACCCATACCCATCAAAATAGGCTATTTGTGGGTCAAATCAGAAATTTTTTTCCGGAGGTGCATGCCCCCGGACCCCCCTAGCAGGACTTCGCGCCTTCGCAGTTACCTGCTATTCATTGTCAAATTACCTGCTTTGTCAAAAGTTAACAAGAACCCTGCACGAGGAGGTGTCATTCGAGATTTGTTTAGAGGGATTTTAACAGGGCGAGGGATCTAAGCGGGGATAGGTGCTGTCGTAGAGATACGCTAGATGGGTTAAACTAAACGGGAATAGGTGCTGTCGTAGAGATACACTAGATAGGTTAAACTAAGCGGGAATAGGTGCTGTCGTAGAGATACGCTAGATGGGTTAAACTAAGCGGGAATAGGTGCTGTCGTAGAGATACACTAGATGGGTTAAACTAAACGGGAATAGGTGCTGTCGTAGAGATACACTAGATGGGTTAAACTAAGCGGGAATAGGTGCTGTCGTAGAGATACACTAGATGGGTTAAACTAAGCGGGAATAGGTGCTGTCGTAGAGATACACGAGTTAGATGGGTTGCTATTTATTATTGGGTCTATTTATTGTTTCGTCCA